TGCCAGCCCTGTCCCCACCCCAAGAGAGACCGCTACGTGTGTGACGCCCCCCGTGCGGTTGCTGACAGCGGTCTTCCGTGGGGCGGCCTTTTAAAACGTGAGCAGTCGCCTCAGGACAGTGAGGGCTTACTGGCTGGGGGCTTGCAGACAGGTATTAGTCCCGCTAATTTATACGTACGCATCACATACTTACCTATGGAAATATATATATATATGGAATACCAAGAGATAATGCTATGTATTTATACACCCACACGCTAATAAACTGAAGAGGTTTGCACCTGGTTGGTCTCTAGTCTTGAGACTGTGGACTCCCTCAGGTTATGCATCTCCTCATGTCGTTTTAAAATCACTAAAGATTTCCAAACAAATGCATTGAAAGGTGTGGATTTTCTCTGCCTCTGCAGAAAAACAAATAATGTGTAAATCCAAATACATATTATCTGACTAGCTTATGTGGTGTAATATTGTTAGCACTTATTTACAATTTTTTAGCCACAGCTTGGCCAACTATTTTCAAATTATCTAAGTGGTTTTAATTACAAATACTGAATCTGCTAAAATGCTGAATCCTGAACCTAGGCCCTGATCCTGGAACTTTGTTTGTGTGAGGCATTCAGCCACGTGGAGGTGCATGAGTAAAGAAGAAATTACAAAATTGGGTTCCTAAGTTGGTTTTTTTCCAATTATGATGGCAGATGCACTGCTGTATTTGGATAAAACACATTCTCCATAGTAACGTGTGACCAGTCTTAGTTATTATAGCAAATCGAACTTCCACTTGTGATACATTATATAGACAGGGAACAATACTATTAAAAACTTCATTGCTACTTTTAAGCTTTTTTCAGGAATGAAAATTGAGCTTAACTAACTTAACTGTGCCAGCTCATGGCTTAGACAGGTATACTCTTTGCTGGGTAAAAGACTGGCTGGGTGGCTGAGCCCAGAGAGTTGTGGGGAACGGAGTTAAATCCAGCAGGCAGCTGGTCACAAGTGGTATTCCCCAGGGCTCGGTATTGGAGCCAGTTCTGTTTAATATCTTTATCAATGAACTGGATGAGGGGATCGAGTGCACTCTCAGTAAATTTGCAGATTACACCAAATTGGGCAGGCGTGTTGATCTGCTGGAGGGTAAAAAGGCTCTGCAGAGGGATCTGGACAGGCTGGATGAATGGGCTGAGGCCAACTGTGCAAATTTTAACAAGGCCAAGTGCCGGGTCCTGCACTTGGATTGCAACAACCCCATGCAATGCTTGGGGGATGAGTGGCTGGAAAGCTGCCTGGCAGAAAAGGAATTGTTGATTTTAAGGGTCTTTTCCAACCTTAATGATTTCATAAGCTACTTTATTGACCTAATAGAAAGGCCTCTACCAACCCGACCACCACTCTTGCAAGCAAATTGCCATTCACCTTTGAGGTGTGTATGCTTAAGTAAATAGGCCTCCATTTAGAACAGTCAGGTGGCCAGAGCAGGGTATTTTAGTAGTAATGTTTCTTTGCTTTTGATTGTTAGAATAAATAACTTTTTTCTTCAGATCATTTTTTTTTTAGAGTAAAGATAGGTGTATGGTTTTAGAAACTTTCAGATTGCAAATTATTTCCATTCCAACAACATGAACCGTCACTGCAATAGTCACTTGTTGACTTGCCCATTCTGAGCTGTGAAAAAAAAAGAAAGAGATACTGCATTGGTGGTTTGAAGACCTCGGTGTTGTGCAACAAGGAGCAGCGAGAGCCACTGCTCCCCCAAGAAGGGAACCCAGGAGCTGAGCACATACAGTCAGCAGGGCAGGGACTTTGCTAGCAAGACCTACCCCACAGTACCTAAGCAGTACAGATATTAGGCAAGTCCACAGTGATGAGGCAGGTCTGAGGTCAAGCTGGAAACACCAGTCAGTGGGGTAGGGTCTACTGCACCCTAGTGATGGCTAGATAGGATCTTTCTGACAAGATAAGGTCAAGGTAGAAATCAGTCCTCAGGTAAAGGTCTAAATCAGGGGGGTATCTATGACTGGGACCTAACTGTGACTGAGCTAGAAACTGATACTTCTACAATGTAACTCAGACCAAGACTATGAGTCCTGGGCTGAGCTTAAGTAGAGCTCCTGGGCTGTAGGCAGGGGTGTGGCAGGATGCATCAGGTGGGGCTGGTCAGGGCCACTAAAGCTTATTAATGTACTTAAGGCCCTGACAGATATGTCTGTCTTGAAGAGATAGTAAGTAAGTTTAGTAAAATGCTGGTTTTAGGAAAATGTTGGAGTGTTCATTTGTTTTTTAAATTTACTTTAGAAAGCACTTAAAGTGGAATTAATAGGTATATCAATTGTTTTACTTAGCTTAAGGTTGTGCTGGTTCTAGAGATCGTTGAATTAGCCCTGCATCTCAAACTTGCTGTGGTAAGGAATTAGGAATTTCTATCCTGCTGATAAGGAATGCTGAAGTAGGCTTTATAAAAAGTATATTGCTTAATGTAACAGGTATTATTTTGCTACAAAACTAGCTCTTTTTCTTTTAATAAAGCAATGTAAAGCATAGCAAGATAGAGGTGTAAGAATGGATGGTCTTTACTGCTTTATATAAATGCTTTATGTAATGGTATGGTATTTTTACAGACCAAGAAATGTTTGTGTAGGATTAGTAAGTTCTTTGGTTGTTGTTCCCGCTTTTCCAAATGATGGTATCTGCCTTATTTATCTGATAAGCATGACTGCATCTTACTGAGTTAGATAGTCACATAAACGTAAAGAATTGTCTTGCAAGCAAAAGCTTTAAGGCATGTCTGTGATAGTCTGTGTTTTGAAAGCAAGTTGTATATTTGAAGATGAAGAGAGAATGCTTTTGTACTTAAGGTACAAAACCCTGAGGTGCTAACACTCCATGCTTAACTGTACTCCTGACTTTTTTCTAATCCCTATTTTTCAATTAACGGGTTACTAGCCTTTATTAGCACTCTAATTTCTATTAATTGTATGCTTATTTGAATTCCTAGCATCAGAAACACTAACAGCAAGGTAACTTGAATTTTAATTTCTAACATTATAACCTAGCATTAAAAACTTCACTTGTGTGTCCTGTAGACCCAAAAGGTGCAAATAACTTCACAAAAAAATGCTGTAACACTAGACTTGGTCTAAATACTCTAGTATGTTCTATGAAACCTAAAACTGTTACCCTGCAGATCCTCTTACCTAGCACTTGTATGCCAAATATTTCAGCTTTGTACAGGTCTACTTCTCTTTACCATACGTAGCTTGCCTGAGTTGCATTAAACTTAACGTCTCTGTACTCATGAATATTGTGGACCTGAGACTATAGTTGCAGTTCTTTTCAGTATTCTCCTTCCTGTGAGGTGTAGGAGAGCATTTCTGTTTATTTTTCTGTGGATGCAGAATCTGCTCTGTCCCTGGTACAGTTCATGGTTGGTTTGCAAAGGATAATTTTTTCTTTTTTTTTTTTGCTAGGTATTGTACTGATAGCCTTCTACCTTCTGTGCACTTCATTTAGCATTGATTAGTAGGTATGAAAATGTAGTTTAAAAAAAATCACAGAAACTGTACAGTCTTAGTTTTGCTTTGCTTTATAGAATTTCTCTTAGAAAACTCTGGAGAGGCAGCTGTAGGATGCAGGGGATTTTCCTTCTGTCCTCTGTGATGCTAATGGAAAATGAATAGTGCCATAAAAAGTTAGCAGTACAAATGCAGTTCTATAGTTTTTTAACAGTTTAAAACCTCACAAAGGTTCTAAATATAAAACTGTCAATTAAATGCTTTGTAAGTATGGTATCATTATTGCCACCTTCAGGTAACAAAAAGAATGATTTATTTTCAGAGTCACTATCCAGCATTCTGTTTACAGAGGGTTTGGGCTTATACTGTGGAGTTTAGTATTTTTTCTAGTTACAGCCTTGCATTTCCTTATTGGAGTAATCTTTTTCTTTGGCCTTAGTATGTTTCAACATGTCAAAAATACATTTACTTTTTCTAGGAAGCTTGATTTGAATCGATAAAAACCTAGTATTAAATGAATTTTTTTTTTGAACGATAAACAGCTCATATACAAAGAGCTACTTAACAAAGGCAGATTCTCCCCCCCCCCCCCCCCCCTTCTCTTCCTGGTGAGGGCTTATATAATAAGTTACAGTTTTAAAATGTATGTCAACGATTAATAGGACAAGTGAGGATTATATACAAGACTGTAGAGGTATCAAATGAAATTGTAATGCTGAAATGTAAAGAATGAAAGTATGACTCATATCTAGTATAGATGGTTTGCTAGGAAGAATTAGTGTCTTTGAGATTTTAATCAGGTCTACACTGAGAGAATTGAGTATTTTCTTAACTTATGATGAACCTCAGTAATATTGCCATTGTGTTCTAGCTCTTTTTTAAAAATAGTTTTACAATACTTGCACTTGAACAGAGCAAAAGTTTTAAAAAGGAAAAAAAAAAAGGTTTGAGATGGAGACTATACCAATTATTCTTTGCCAAAGCTTTCTTCCAGGAGGACTCCTGAGTTTTGATAAAATGTTCTTTGAAATGAAATTGCTCAACATGTAGATCAAAATTACCCAGTGTTTTAACAGAGATATTAGTAGCTAACTCAAGAACATTGAGATCAAGCATAACCATCATCCTCTAGT